ATATATATATATTCTATTTGACGATATATATATATATATATATATATATATATATATCGGCTAGCCACGTGGCGGGCCATTTTTCTTTCGTTTTTTTCATAGGAGATGGCTATGGTGGGATTTTTGTCACGTTGTTTGGCGGAGGACGAGCGGGAGGAGCGGGAGGAGGGATTTGGAAAAGGAGCGGGAAAAGGAGGAGTGGGAGGAGGAGAGGGAGCAGGTGCCGGAGAAGGAGCGGGAGGGGAAATGCGAAGGAGCGGAGGAGCCGCGGGAGGAGGAGCTGGAGGAGGAGGAGCGGCAAGGGAAACGGGAAGGGGGTTAGGAGCAGGAGAAGGAGCACGAGGAGAAACGGAAAGGGGCGGAGGAGGTGTGGGAGGAGGGGCAGTAGAAGGAGCGGGAGGGGGAGCGGGAGGGGAAACGGGGAGGGGGTTAACAAACACGTGGGAGCCGGAGGAGGGGGAGGAGATATAGGTGGAGGAGGAGAAGCCGGAGGAGCACGAGGACGAGCGGGAGAAGGAGCAACAAGAGGAACGGGGGAAAGAGCAAGGGAAGCAGCGGGAGAAGGAGAAGCAGCAGGGGAGAGAGCAGGAGGAGGAGGAGGAGGAGGAGAGGGAGCAGCAGGAGAACGGGATCTTTGTCACGTTGTTTGGCGGAGGAGCGGGAGGGGGAGGAGGAGGAGGAGGAGGAGTGGGAGGAGCGGGAGAAGGAGCGAGAGGAGGCGTGGGAGGAGCGAGGAAGGAGCGGGAGCGGGGCTATGGTGCGGGAAGAGGAGCGGGAGGAGGGGGAGGAGGAACGGGGGCAAAAGCAGGTGGAGCAGCGGAAGGAGGACTAGCAGCAGGAGGAGCGGGAGGAGCAGCAACAGAGGGAGCAAGAGAAGGAGAGGGAGGAGGAGCGGGAGAAGGAGCGGGAGCGGGAGCGGGGCTATGGCGGGATCTTTGTCATGTTGTTTGGTGGAGGAGCGGGAGGAGGAGGAGGAGCGGGAGGAGGAGGAGGAGGAACGGGAGGAGCGGGAGGAGGAGTGGGAGGGTGAGAAGAAGGGGGAGGGGATTGGGGATGGGGTTGCATCTCACAGCCCCTTGATCCATACTCTCCTTCTCATTTTGCACATTCCAAGGCTGCTCAGTTCGAGCTGCTTGGGATCCTGAACTGTGCAATCGGATTTTCGAATACAATACAGAATGCCTTTTTCCTTTCCGTTTTTGCCTGCTGTCCTGTGCAACTCTGATTGATTTCCCTACTCTCAAGTATGGTGTTGTTGTCTCTGTGCGACTCCCAATATGTCTTCCCGTAACCGCTACAACTCCATGTGCCTTTTTTCACAATCAAACATAAATGCTCTTTAGGATCCTGAACTCTCTCTCTCTCTCTCTCTCTCTCTCTCTCTCTCTCTCTCTCTCTCTCTCTCTCTCTCTCT